TAGCGTTAAATATATTATTTATTATAAATATTTATTGCGCAATGATAGTTATTTTTTGATACATCGAGCTATGAATTTTTAATAAAAGCTTTATTATAAAGGATTCTATAATAGTAATATAAACTTTTCATAATAATGGTTACATATATTCAAATTATGTATGATTTTGCTAAAATATATTGATTACAAAGAACAAATATGCTACAAAAGATTAAATAAAAAATAATAAAAGTAAATTGATATTTTCATATAAATCCATGAATTTTAGTAAATAGTATTAGTCGATAGTTTGCTATTTTTTTCTTTAAATATAAAATTATTTTAGCCAATCAGCAACAATATCAGATTTGTATAACAGATTTTGTAGATCACAAATATTGGCCAATCAAAACAAACTTCTATCATGCTAATCTAATTTCGAATCTTAATTTTGATCTCATGAAATTAAGATCTGAAATTGGATTGGACAATTTTTATATTGTCTTTATTTATTTTATTAGCCAATCAGAGAATTTTTCTCTATGCTACTCTTAACAAGTCACTTGTAAAGGTGTGAATATATCTTTGCTCATAAAAATAGTATTCAGTAAAATGTAAAAAAGATGTCAAACAACCAAGTGAGCATAAAATAAACTTATCTTAAAATGTATATTGTGTAAATATAGATATGGTTTATTAACTTTGACATATGATACATATGCATATATTGTATATATATAAGATAATAATTGAAAGTGAAGCAATTAAAAGTTGTAAAACTTGTCTTTGAGCTTGGTGCTGTAGATTTAGTATGATACACCAATAGTGAGTGATAGCCTTGAATATAGAGATATATAAACTTATCAGAAGGTTATATCATGTAAACATGACACAGTTTTTATTTTCAGCATATAATACATATATATACATATATAGAGTAATGACTAAAAGTATAAGTTAAGCGATTTTGGATTGTAGAACTTGTTCTTGAGTTTTTGGAGTTAAGAGATCTGTGCAGTGCTTCAATAGTAAGTATTGTTCTTGAATATAGAGATATAGGGATTTAAGACTTATTTGATTAACAACTTTTATTTAAACTTAGAGTTTTATTAAATTATAGCAAATAATACTACCTTGGGTTTTTTACATTCTGAGCTAAATAGTAAAATTATGTTCTTGAAGTAACTTCTTCATTAATACTTTACAAATACTTGATATTTACTCTACTTATAGGATCCATAATAGCGTCTAATATATCAAATCACCAGTTTAATCCTAGTGTTCAATCTATATATTCGAATAATAAGCAGCAAAATGATTGTGAAACAAATAAAAATGGTAAAATTATATCTTAAAGTAATCTCTTTATTGATACTTTGCAAAAACTTGATATTTACTTTATTATAATCTATAGTGGTGCCTAATATAGTGACTATTATTTCTAACTATCAGTTTAGTTCTAGTATTTAATCTATATATTCAAATAATAAGCAACAAAATTATTATGAAACAGATAAACATGCAACTCAAAATATTACTTTAGACTTTTATATTTTGAACAAAATAGTAAAATTTCTGTGCTTAAAACAATTTTTTTACTCTTTATTGCATTTATATTTTTAATCTTTATGAATACTTATTTACATTATTTGTAGAATTTATTTTGATACCTGATATATCAACAATTTTTTCTGACTACTGGTTTAATCCTAGTGTTTAATTAGACACCTATATGTTTGAATTTTAGTGTTCAATCAGAGACTCCTATGTGTTCAAATAACGATCAACAAAGCGATAGCGAATCTGATCATGATAACTATAAAACAGATAAACTTGTAATTCAAAGTGGTGCTGAATTTCTGAGCTAGAATCTTTGAAGAATTTATTAAAAAAATATGAATTAGAAATTAGATTTAAGTCAATAAAATATTAAGTAGAGAATGAAAATGGTAAAATAATATATTGATATTTTATTTGTAAATATTCAAGAGAACAACAATCTAAAAAAAATATTGATGTCACATATTATAATGAAAAATTGTCAAAAAAAGTTGAATATCAATAGCAACTTAATGTGGGATATCAAAAAAGTATTAATACTATAGTTATTAATAAATTTGTTGAAAGATATAATCATTCTCTTGCACCACATAGAAAAAAGTTTGCCCCAAGCTTACGTTCACTTTTGCAAAACATTTTTGATACAATAAAGTTTCCAATACAAGAATATAACCTTGGAGCAAAGGCTCGACATTGGTATATTTTAAAGAAATTTTCTGATCAACCATTATATGACTGTGATTTGTATAATGCTTTATGTCAGTACACAAAGCAAATAGGCAATCAATGAGAAAATGATACTGCAAATATAGTAAATTGGCTTATGAAGCAACAGAAACAAGAGACTAGATAGGCTATTTATATTGAGCTTGAAGTTTTGATAACAATTTTTTGTGGCTTTTTTGAATAATACCTGTACAAATAAAATTATTTTTTTTTTTTTTTTTGTGTTTAAGGTGACCTCTTTGGCCGGGGGGCTTTTTATTAGATAATTAACAACGTTACAA